GGGAGACCATCCTCTCTACGGTGAGGAAGGCTGCCAGGTTGGCCGTGTAAGAGGAGATGATGATGAGGGTGAAAAACCACCAGACGCCTCCAACGATCCGACCTGAGAGAGACCTGGAGACGAAACAGATCTGTGGGTCAGACTGGAAGACACACACACACACACACACACAGTGTTTGTGTTTTGTTTTAAAGAATAATTCCTGCTTATTTGAATCTGCTGAGTTTCCCACAGTCGTCTTCTTCTACTCGTCGACTCAGACAACAGTTTGTGAGGCTGAGGTCCATACACAAGACATGAGAGCGTCTCTGTCTTCAACCATGAAAACAGCTGAGCAGGAATATTGTGTTTTAGGAATAAGAGTGTTCAAAGTTGAGAAAAAGAGTTGTGATGATAGACTGAGGATTAAAAATGTGAGTGTCTTACCTGGGAGAGATGTCACAGCCCTGCTGCATGAAGGCCCCGAGAGAGAACCACAGAGAGTTAAAGATCCCAAAGTCGTTGGTGTGTTCAGGCGTCTCCTTCTCTTTCTGCTGGTTCTGGTTCTGAGCCTGAGGGAACCCTGACAAAACAGAGCCATGTGATGAAGGACTGACCGGGCAGCAGCGAGGTAAACACCTCAACAATGATGAGGTACCTGAAGAGTGAGCGAGTTCGGAGGACGACGTCGGCTGAGCTCGTTGAGACGTGGAGGAGGGGACGGTTTCATCCTCGTCATCAGAGTCCTCCCCCTCCCATTCGTAAGGACTGAACCGACTCACCTTAGAAACAAAGACGTCGTCATACGAGGACACAATCTGAGACCATGGTTCACAAGACACTTTTCTTTTGGGTTTTTTTAAACTAAATTAAATTTTCTGTCCAGTTTCATGAGTGTGTTTGAATAAATGAAGAACTGTGGAGGAGAGTTGATCCTTTTAATAAACACAACCAAATGTCAGTTCCTCCACTTAAGTAAAAATACTCTGTGACAAGTAAAAGTGTTGCATGCATTCCTCAGTACTTGTTTCTTATTATGTCTAAATTTCCTTCATCATAATAAAATATAATTAATTGTTTTATCAGAAAACTGATGCTTGTGAAAGAGAAGATGTGATTTAATGACTCTACTCGTTAACTAACGTGATAAACTTCATGTAACTTTACAACCAGGTCATTAATTACGGCCTATTTCATATTAGCTGCGTAACCACGCCGGCCCCGCCCCTCCTCACCAGGAAGAGCACGACGCTGACGCCGATGTAGGCGAAGACGATGCACATCCAGATCTCGTAGGCCAGCGGGTCGAGGAAGGAGAAGACGCCTGGTTTGGACTTGGTGGGTTTCTTGATCATGATGGAGATTCCCAGAGACATGAAGGGTTTGGTGAAGTCGATCACCTGCTCTCGCACCAGAGTGATGGTGAGCGGGGCGACCGCCACGTCGGCTTTCTGCGGGGGGGGGGGGGGGGGGGGGGGGGGGGCAGAAACATGAACAGAGAATTTTCACTGTGAATGTTTTTTGTTTTTTTTATCTGCTCAACAAAACCTCGTACAGCAAAAAACGTGGTGTCCGACACTCACCCCGTACACCAGTTCTCCCACCATGCCGTTCCACATCTTTGTCGCACTGTCTCTGGCGCCGTACTTGCCGTCACCCACCAGTTCGAGGCGGTAGGCGAAGCCGACGTGTTTGGCGATCTCCGAGGCCAGTTCGGCACAGTAACCTTCGTACTTGTCATTTCCTACTAACTGCTCGTGGTTCTTCTTCAGCATCATGTAGGGAGCTTCCTGTTCGGAGACAGACGTTGAGGACGTTTCATTTGTCTCTTTATTTATCTTTGAATTTGCTGCTGACCTTGTTTTGCTGCTTTCATGAGTTCACTTGAGTTTGAATTTATTCTTTTCTCTTATGCACAACTACAAACCTGAAGCAGGTTTAAGTCAAATCATTTTGGTTTGACTTCAGGATTCTGTCGGTTTCAATGGTTCAGGAGGTTTTTAGGAGCTTTGAGTAAAGTTTCTGACGCTGTCGCCGACACAGGACGACTCACAAAAACTTAAGATCCAGACGTCCGACGACTAAAATCCTTCTTCAACCACGAAGAGTTAAAAAGAGAATATGTGACCTCAGACTGGATAAACACTGACACATGCATGAAGAGGATATGACGCCGCCAAGAGGCGACTAAAGTAAACGCAGCATCAAAGGTTTAAAAATATGAAGACGATTTTAAACAACTTCATGAAAAGTTCCAATACTGAGAAATGTCTCGTTAATACAAATGTCCTCAGCAACAATAAACATTTCTAACAATATGTCTCATGGCTGTTTTTCAAACGACCATTCCGACCCAACACTCTAACCACACGGCAGCAGGATGAGCAGCAGGCGTCTTACCAGGATGGTGGTGACGACGTAGGTTCTGTTCTGCAGACCGTGGACCTCCTCCAGCACCGGCCTGTAGACGGCCGTGTTCACGTAGCCCCTCCTCTCGTTCCAGTAGCCGATCTGAACGCACGACAGCACTGTTACATCACAGCTGTTATCTCTTCACCACCTCCCCCCATCGTTAAACGAGTGGACAGAGGTGTAGTCTCTCTTCATGTCTCTGTTCACACCTGCAGCTACTTAATGCTCATTAATGTGAAGCTCGGTTCTGTGGGGTCGTGTTGTCTCTGAAAGCTGCTGACTGGACTTAATACAAACTGTGAAGTCATCACTGTGTCAAATTATGGAAAATAAACTTCATGAGATTCAGGAAAATCTTCACAAAGCCACTGTCAGTGTTTCAAAATGTGTGTGTAACGATGTCATCACAGCTCATGGTGTAACCGTGTGTGATGGAGGTGAACAGAATCCTGCGAGTCTGCAGCTTTCTGAACCAAACAAGTGCTGCAGCAGCTGATCTAACTGATCATCGCACCTTTAATCGGAGAAGAGGGAGCTAATTAGTGAAATGAGCTGATGCGGTGAAAAGCACCAAACGTCTGTTGGAATTAAAACCATTTAACAAAAGAAAAACAGCCGCAGCACCTTCGTGGCTCCTTTGTGGCTGAGCTCCATCACAGTCACAGTGTAGTTGGTCCGATGTCCTCGCTCGTCAAACTGAACGTGACCCGTCAGACCTTCGAGACGCACCTGCCGATACAGATTCAGATTCTGTCATTCTTCATCTATTCATACTTCCACTGCTGCTCCTGAAACTCTGTCGCCAAAATGACAAAAATCTGTTTTTATTTATCGACTTTCTGATGATGCTTATTAATGTCGTGTGTTGCAGTTTGACCTCATGGTGGTGCTGTTGAGTTTGAAATCTTAAACGGGAACATTATCCCACTCAGGACAAAGACGCGTCCACGTCGTCCCAAGAGAAGAGAAGTTCTGTGGCTGAGGAGAGAAACTCAAACGTCTCGACTTGCTGCTACAGACGAGCAGCTACTTTTCCAAACTTTCAACTTGAGGAGCCAGAAAGTCTCAAAGCATATTTTACTGCATGTTGGCCTCAGCTGGAGGAACGGAAAGAGATGCCATGACATCCCAGAGCTGATGGATGTTCTGAGAGTGAAACTGACTGATCTGGGTCAGTCTGTGAGAAGCTACAGCCTGTGTGAGATAAAACCGTCTGAACGGGAAATAGAACCACAATGAGAATCATTAATGAATGTGGGAAAACAAAMCCCTAAAAATATATTTAGTGTTGTTGTTGTGTCTTGTTCTGAAATCTTCTTGACATTCATCGCACAAACCACAGGATGTACACGTGTTAACAGATTTAATGGCCATCGTGTGTGTTGTGTATTGTGTACATGTGTGTAGTTGTGTACCTGTTGCAGGGCCCTCTGGATGTCAATGCCCTGTCCCCAGGGAGCGGGGGGGTTGGCTAGACACTCCCCTGCGTTGCCGCGGCGAGAGATGTCGATCCGCTGCCGTCGCAGGTTGTGGAAAGCCGTCGCCATGGCACTCACGCCGTCGTAGGTCAGAGCTCCGGTGTACTGAGGAGTCGAGACGAGCGAGAGTCACCGTCACTTGTTGTGGACGAACACGTCATCGTGTGTGTGTGGATGTAACGTCTCCATCTGAGTCGGATAATTCCTGTTCACAGTTTTGCTACGTAACCAATTTTGTAGGTTCACAAATAAAAAATGATGTAATTCAGTACAAATGCACAGTGTGTGTGTGTTTCTGTACCTATATCTGTGTGAAGATAGAGTGTGTGTGTGTGTGTGTGTGTGTGTGTGTGTGTGTGTGTACCCTGAGGCTCCGTCGGGCCAGTTTCAGGTCTTTGCTGTCGAAGTCCAGCCAGTCCTGGTTGATCTTCTCCACGGCCGGATCGGACCAGTTCATCAGCTGGAAGCCCGTCACATTGGGCCCCAGCTTCTGAAACTCTGTGACGTTCAGGTCCATGAAGCCCTGACACACAAACACACACAAACACACACAGACACACAGACACACACTGTGATTGACTGAACTCCGCCTGAACCCACACACACATACACGTGTTCCAGTAAATAGACAGACTCACCAGATTGGCCAGGATGTAGTGGTAGTTCTTCAAGTTTCTCTTCTGAGCAGCAATCTGAGAATAAACGATATGCTAATCACATTTTCTGATGTTTCTAATGATGATAAAAATAATTCATTACAGATTCATCACACTGTGTGTGTGTGTGTGTGTGTGTGTGTGTGTGTGTGTGTGTGTGTGTGTCCTCTGAAACAGCTGCTAATTGGACGACTCAGTTTCTCTTTGAGGAATAAATTGCTCATCTTCACCATCAGAAAGCGACGGAGGGAAAGAGAAAAGGGTCCTCTCAGATTTAGAAGAGCCAACTGACACAAGAGAGGAAGAGGAGGAGAAAGAAGAGGAAGGACGATGAAGAGAGAAGTTGGAGGAGGGTAAGAAGGAGGTGGAAGGAAGAAACAGCTGTAGGAAGGAAAGAGGAGGAGGAGGCTGAGCAGCACCTGATAGTTTCTGCATGAAGCTGAAGAGAAATGATTTCAGCTGCAGCCAACACGTGTGTGTGTGTGTGTGTGTGTGTGTGTGTGTGTGTGTGAGTGTGTGTGTGTGTGTGTGTGTGTGTGTGTGTGTTACCAGGTTGAGGATGGAGTTGAGTCGGTCCAGCTCACAGTTGATGATGACCTGATAGTCCTTCTTGAAGTCCAGGTCGGTGAGCAGCTTGACGAAGGCGGCCTCCGTCAGCGTGTCCAGGTTGATGGAGGTCACCTGCCAGGTCTGCTCCGCCGCCGTGTCCAGGATCCTCTGCAGCACCGACAGACCTGAGACCGTCAAATTACCCATGAGTCAGTGTTCCAGCATCAACTAGCTCAATGTCGCTGAGCTTACATCCATCAGCTGTAGCACATGTTTGAGGGTCGAGGCGGACAGGTGGACCAGTGGATCACAGACCAACATACTGAGACCAAAACATCATTCAAGCTCTGAGAGGTCTCGTTGGCCGTCTAGTTCAAACCCCAAAACCTTTTTTGCTGTGAGGAGACAGTGCAAACCACTATACCACCGTGCCACGCCAGAGGAGGACACCCGTCAAACCAAGAGCTAAAACCACAACATTTCAATTTTCTGTGTAAATCTTTCTCTGGAGATGTTTAGAAGTGTTTTCGTCGTTTCTACACTTTTTCGAATTTTCTTTCTCGACAAACATTTTCCGCCTCGTCGCTCCTGAAGGAACTTTTCTGTTGAGGGTGGATTTAAAGAGGCGTCGGCTTCTCAAACGTCAAGCTGTGTTTTTTCCAGAGGAGTCAGACTCTTGTGATGTTGTCTGTCTGCCTCCGGCTGGACTTGGACTGGGTGAATCTTCAAAAAGCTGCTTTACACACACTCGTGATGAGTTTGATTTTAGTTCCAGTTCCTGATTTGAACAAGGGAAACAGATAAATATCAGCGATGAGGACGAAGATCTGAGATCGGAGGAGAAGCTTCTCAGGCCAAACTGGACTCTTGTCTTTCAGTGTCTCCTCTCATGGGCTGTTCATTCATTATTTACGCAGAGAAACCCGACCCCCCACAGTCGGAGCCTCAGAAACGTGACGACTCACAATCAAACCTGCAGCAGGACGGAAAAAACAAGGCGTCTTAGCCTCACGGGGAATTCTGCAGTTTTGCACAAGCTTGATCCAAAGATTTTAACAGTTTATTCATCAGTGATTATAACAGCTTCACAAACATCAGCTCAATGACACTGTTCACTGAAACCAACACGTATTAACCTCATGGTGGCGCTACAGTCAAGGGGATCACTATAGTCAGAAGGATACATCCTCTGGAACCATGAAAATGGCAGAGTAGCAGTAGCTTGTTGTCGGTGATGGTCGAGTGTAACTTTAAGAAATGAAGCTCATGTTCAGGTTCATCACTTGGAAACGTTAACCTGCTCTAATGAAACAGAGACAAAAGATCATCGCTCCAGATGTTTAGAAGTGAAACAAGAAGCCACAGCTGGATCTGGATTTAATCTGAAGGAGGGAAACTGACCAATGAGAAGCTCCGATCAACAACCATCGAGAAATTAATCTGCCAATGTCGAGTTTCTACAAACTGACAGGTTCTGATCTGAGGTTTGAAACTGTGAGTGAACTCACATCAGCATTTTACACACACACACACACACACAC